AATCCATTATCTATACACCGCTTAATCCTCACGAGGGTCGCGGGTCTGCACTATCAGCAAACATGAAATACAGTGTAAATATAGAAGACACAAATGTGCATCGACCACATGGCTGGAATGTCAGATTCAGCCGAACCCGACAAATTCAATCCCAGCAATAGTTTGTATTCAAAATGCTTGGTAATTATTGTTCTACAAATAACCGTATGCTAAGAATGATTGGTTGAACTTGACTTATGAACTCTTGTTGATTCTTTTTCTCTAACATTAAAAACATATGCAGCATAAAACCAACAGGGCGGTTCTCGCTTAAAGTTGATTTATTATCTTTATCTTCGCTAACGTTGCTAGCATCTAATGACATCTGATGCTTGACGTGCTGTTGGCACTGTTTGATTGACACGGTGTTGCAGCTGTGGATGTGGTGCAAGAGTTGTGCAGCTGTTTTTATGTTTTATGTTAGTATTGTTGTATTGTTAGTCCTGTAGTAGCTTCGGCTAAAGCAGTTTCCTCCCCCTGCTGTGATAATCTACTACGACCTCTGAATAATCTGCCCAGTTCATTGCCTAAAAGTGCATATGTTGAGGATTAGATTTTTTCATTATTAAAGTGACGCCCTTGACATGACCCATCACATAACCTAATTATTTTATTTTTGCATTCTAGTCATGCTTTTTGCTTTCTTTCTAAGATGGGTAGGTGACTATATATTGCAAATCTAGCAATGAGAGGTGAGTCTAGGGCTACAATTGAGAGAGAAAGTTTTCACAGTGGAAGAGCTCGAAATTTCCAAAACTGGCAGTGACTCATGATCGCACCAGCAGCATTGGGTTTTATTCAACATTCACGTGGTTGTACACTGGGAAATAATTCCCCGGGCTTGGATTGGCAAAGCAAACTTTTGCCGTCGATGTATCCGAGGGAGAACATTGTGCTCCAGCGCGTCGTGCCACAGCTATTACCCTCAAGTTTTTTTGGACACAGCAACACAATCATCGCTCTGTACCCATCCTGCTGAAAGATCTGGCTCCCTATGACTTACCCTGCTTCCCCACCGAAATGAAATTCAAGTTGAAGGGTTTCCGTTTTGACACAGTTTAGGAGATTCCACGCTCATCCCAGATGGTGCTCGGCATGTTTACATAAGGGGACTTCCAGGGAGCGCTACAAGCATTGCAGGAGCGCTGACAGCAATTTATCGCTGCACAAGGAGAACACCTCGACGGAAATGGCGGCCAAATCAGCCAGAGTTTGGGATTTTTATAGGTAGCCTCGTAACTTTCTGATCAACTCTTATATTTGCATTTTACTGAAATTCATCAGGACACATTCCCAGATTACAACAGGGAAACTCACAACATTTAACAAATTTTTTGCGTTTTTATTAGAGAAGGTATGTGCAGCCCGTGCCCTCGCCCGCCTCTGTAACTCATTATCCTCCACTTTGTCTTGAGAAAGAATGCACAAAGGCTCTGACCTTGTGCTTACAACCCTGGACAAAGACGTGCTTTGTGCCAGTTCTCCAGGCCCACCACTGCCTGCGTGTCCAGCCCTCACACCGTCAAAAGCCCCTCCAGCCGTTGCCCCAGCCCCCCAGTTTACCCATCATGGCCTGTATCCACTGGGCTGTGACTAAGTGACTCTCCCCGTGTTTCATAATGAAATCATTCAGTCATGTGCAGGAAGTTCCTTGTGCTGTGTAGCCACGAAAGAATGCTAGTTATGTCCGTCCATTCACACATGGCAGGTCCACTGGGACAGGCTTAGTCAGTTTGTCACCTGGTGTCTGGCTAAACACCCATTTTTTTATGCTCTTGACCAAAGCACTCACCCTTGAAAACATGCAGTACATTTGTGCTTTAACAGAATATCCACATTCTTTGTAGGGTTTTCAACAACATGTCTATTTATTGGTTACAGTTCATATTTTCTATGTTAGTGAGAAATGTGCTTTTTTGCGTCCTTGAAAAAAATTCTGTGATGCAAGACAAAAACCGTGTGCAGTTCAGGAAAAGGTCTGCATGCTTTTAGGCACTCTATAAGTAATTAAATTCCATTTTAAAGCATTGTCAACGAAGGCAACTTTCCACTCTAAAGGATCTTCCTGAGGAATAAATGTTGACTTTGAAGGGAATGCTTAAAGAGAATTACATTACTTCCTTGGATTGTAAAAGTGTTCAAGGCAATAGCAAGCAGCCTGTTAGCTAAGCTTAGCCCCGAGACTATAAAAAAAAGGGGGAAACAGCACCGGCTCAGTGCAGAATATAAGAAAAATCTGTCCTCTAGCACCTCCAATACTCAATAATTAACATGTTCTAAGTCTTTTTTACACTTGGGTTCAAAAAACTAAGTGTAAAGACAACAAGAAATTTTACAAGGTTGTGTGTGCCAGACTGTTTCTTGGCGGGCGTCGTCACAGTCTTGTTGTCGCCGTGCGTTTGCCAGGCAGTCAGCACAGAGGTTAGGGAAGTCACTGCTCCTGGCCAAGACGTAGCTCAGCTCCAAAACCTGTGCAGCCACAGCGAACTGTTTTTACTCTGCAGTGTTTGCACCAATTCCACAAACAACATACCGTAGAGTGTGTTAATTATGGAGCTTTGGAGGTGCTGGTATGTAGATTTGGAAAGCGAGGTGTTTGCAGTTTTTAGGCTAAGCTAATCTAATCAGCTGCTATCTGAAGCCTTGTGTGGGATGGACAGACAATAGACTGGTATTCTCACCAGCTACAGTAATTAGCATTTCCCACATTGTGTTACTGTCCCCGATAAACCGTTACATCAGCCTCACCAGCTTTCTTTCATTATAACCTACTGATAACCCTGGGTTTAAAAAAAAAAAAAAAAAAACAACGAAAGAGGATCCCAGTCAACGTTGAGAACGGTTTATGTACACAGCTGGGACTCTTTTCCCCTGCCTGCCTGCTTGAGAAGTGCATGTGTGCATTTGCGTGTCCATGGAGATGATCCTCCCTCAGCTCTGGAATGTTTGCAATGTACCGAAAGAAGAAGAAGATCAGCTCGAGTACCTGGGGTCTGTGCTCCGACCTGCTGCGGGCCCCCGGCTGTATGACTGTCTGAGCCTCTGATTCAGTCTTTACTAAGACAGAGAACAAGCACATCTGGAAGGCACAGTGTAACACAACTACATAATAACCTACTGCACTGGTGCCACAAGCCAAGACAAGTTGCAATCATTAGAGCGCGCCACAAAGTTGTGTGCATGAAGATTTTGTTGCTGTAGGGTGGGAAAAAAAAAAAAAAAAAAAGCTGGGCTTGAAGGAGTTTGTGCGCTGATCAGAAATAAGCCAGGCAGGAAGAGTGAAGAAGGAACATATGTGAACAGTTAAAGGGTGATTCAACAGCCTCTTTGAAATCCACCATTAGGGTGATTACAGCTGGCATGGACCCTGGTTAAAAAATTGCTTTCATGTGCGGAGGAATCCACAAAAAAACTAATTAGGGAAATGAAACTTTCATTTCCCATTTAGGAAATAAGTGAAGTTGACAGTGATATTAACAGCGAAGACGGATGCACGGCAGGAAGGGCGAGATGTGGGTGAAATGCAGAGGTGGGGATTCGTGTGAGGCGGGTGGAGGGGGGGGGGAAGAAAGAAAGGTTGAGAGTCTGGTTTAGACGTGCAGACCTCAGTTTAGCATTGTTTTTAATCCCCCCGGTGTCTGCAGCCGGTTGTAAATCTCTTTTCAGTCGTCGGCATTAACAGGCACGCCTGGAGCACCGTGCCCAGCTGCAAGTGCAGTCTTTGCAGTCCCTCTGAAACACACATGTTCACATGCTAACTCCCACATCCAGCACATTAACATGACCTGCTTTCGCCTATACAACAGTCAGTGCACATATTGATCCCCAAGTCCCTATTACAGCTGAAGCATACTGTCTGGAAAAAGCCTCCAGTTACACCTACTGACACTTCTGCTGTGGGAGAAGCACAAATCACTGACACACAAGCTGTTATCCACAAAAGAAAAAAAAAACAAGTACAAAAAGTGAGCCGGTATTTGAACAAGATGCACTCATTCCACTTTATGGAGCTCGTGAGAGGTGAACCCTGGAGTTGGCTGAGCATATATATATATATATATAAAGTTGTAAAAGAAACCAGATGAGGTGTAGGATAGCAAAAGGCTGGAAAGAATTAGACCTTCAAAAGTTTGATCATTGACTTTCTCTCTGATGTGCTTGTAAATCTAGAACCAGAAAGAAAGGACGCAGAATCGAGCCGGTGGTGGAACGAATAGGGAAAGGATGCTTCCATAAGGGTCAAATTAAAAACCGATGTGGCGACGTGAAGTGAAAGTATGCACCGTAAAGCAAAATAATAGAGCTGACCTTGAGGGATTATACCTGTTTTCTTTTTTTTTCTTTCTCTCTTTGAAAACCTTTCACGGTTACAAATTCAATCTGCAAAAAAACTGTAAACAAGGCAGCTCTCCTCTGAGACCAAAGCCCTCATTAATTGTGGGTTTGGTCTCTCAGCAGCACATGCATCCACCGGGAGTCTTTTTGTTGTTGTTGTTTTTTTTCTTTTCTTTTTACTTTTTAGCTGAACAGACTGAACTAATAAGCCAACATCCAGCACTGTGGCCGTAGGTTGACCATCATGTCACAAACGTCCTGCAGTAAATCTTGTGGTTATGAAAAGGTGGAAGTGACAATATAGTTAGGGAAGAAACAAACCCTTTTCAGATGTCAGATCATGTCAGTTGTCTGCCTCAGTTCATCATTCTGGGTGAGATTATAAAGGGGATTAGAGGTTCCTGTTGTAGCGTGCCTGTGGCTGACAGGATGGCTCCTGGGGAACAGTGTGCCAGTACAAGATATTCCTGCAGCACAATGAGAGCAATCTGGGGCTTAAGTGCAGAGGCTATGGCGGCTTCATAAACCCTAGTGCTCCACACACACACACACATACACGAGTTAAATATTTGATGCACTCTAATGGGGCAGTTCAGCCGAATACAGAACGCATAGTCAGACAACAGTTAAGTTAAATTACAGTGTATTTATCAAAAAAAGGACAAGAGATTTTTGGAATGTTACAATGCACATTAAATTAGTCTGGCGTCAAATTTGCCAAACAGGTTTGCCAGGACAATATTTACAACTTTGCTTACCAAAATGCACATGATACATCTGTGTATTTAAGGCTGAATATGCAATCCAAACACAATTACAAGAGTGCAGATGCTGGCTGTGACGATGTGTGCAAATGATTTCCTATAAAAAGCGAGCCAGATGTCAACAGAAGTACAGTATTCTAGAGTCAACTTATGTTAAGGCTTAGGAGTTTATCATTGGGATTACTGAACACAAGGCAAGAATCCAAACACAGAAAAAGGCTGCATTATGGTACCCCTATAGTCACAAATAAAGCCTACTCTGGACATTTATTCATATTCAGGTGAGCATCAGTGGAGTGAAGTAAGACAGGATAAACTGACCTTAATTTTTTTCCCCTCTCAGTGAGGCATACAGTGAAAATCTCAGCAGGGAGCTTATAAACATGTGTCAAATTTACTTATTTATAAAGTAGGCAACACATTCTATTCACAAGAGGTAGTTCAGCTGGATACTCGAGACAGTTTTGTGTAATGCGCATCAGTTTAGCACAGGTGTGCCAATCGCGTTTGCAAAGCTCATTATACTGTGCAGACAACAAATCCATCACCTGTGCGCGCTGAATGCTCACAGCTGGCCGTACTTTCCTTTGCAATGCAAAATGTGTTTGTATAATCTGTCTATCCTGTCCTGGAGAACACCGGCGTGCTCATCTGAGAGAAATCCTAATTCCTGAGACAAAGGCTCGCTGTCTCTGTAGAGCTCCAGCAGCCTCTGCCTGGAGTCTCTGCGCCTGTGCAGCTCCGCCACGCGCTGCGTGGTCCTTTTCCTGAACACACACACGGAGTCCAGGACCGTGTTGTGATATTTCTCCCACATGTTCAACACCCGAAACCCGTGCACGAGTCCCGCTTCGTTGTCTATGAACACAAGGTCACCGTGGGGTGTTTTCAGGAGGTTGTTGGTGTCCCTCTCCATCACGCGCGAGTCCCACTGCAGACTGAACAGATTGCTGACGAGTCTGTCGAAGTTTGCGGTCAGGTAGTCGAGTATGATCAGGTCGCTCCACTGCATCAGCTCCAGCAGCTCGGCCGTCGTCTTGTTCCGGAGCTCCTCCAGCGCAGGATGGAGCCCCCCGCTCTCCTGCCTGAGCGGCGCAGGTGTGACCACCCCGGTCAGGTTGGAGATCCACTCGGTGAGAGACACCACGGCGCGGTCGCTCCACTGTAAACCATCTATCCGCGTCCTCACAGCCGCCCACTGCTCGCTGTCACCGCTCAGCTGGGACAGCACGAGAGGAGGCAGATTCGTGATGCCGAGCAAACCGGCGAGGTAATACGTCAAAGTTTCTCCCTGCACCTGGTCCGCGTTTATCCCGTAACGCACGCACGCTTTGGTCCCGTCTGCGAAAGTGGCGAGCTGATTGGATATCCTGCCGCATCCAGGCTCCAGCTTCACCACCCGGTACGTCCTCGCTCTGCTTCTCCAAGCCCGTGCATATTCCTCCGTGAAGCCCACAGGGAGGAGGTCTTCCAGCCATTCGCTCCAAAACACCCCGTCCTCCACTGGGGAGCCCAACTTGACCGGGCCCTCCCGCCGCGTTGACCTCTTGTTATCCCCATTCACATGGTAATCTCGACTTCCCGCAGAGGCAGGTTGATCAGTGAGGTTTTGAGCCTCAAGCCTGCCCCCCAAGCGAGGTCTTTGTGCCGCTGGGACAGCCAGTAATGTCCGGAAAGTTTTAGCGGAGAGGTCCACCGGGAGACCCTGGTGAAAAGACCCTCCACCCGGCATCAAGACCCTCCGTTTGTGCCGCTCCAAACGGCTCTCCAGTGCGCTCCAGACGTAGAAAACACTTGCGAGGGCGCACAGGAAGAGCAGAGCGAACAAGTTTGCCGACAGAGCCCTCATGGTGAAGACCACCTTTACCAGAATTCCGGCAGATTTAAGTTTAAATAAAAAACAAAAAAAAGGGGGACAGAACAGAAAGATCTCAATTTGCTTCAATCCACAGTGGAGCTGGAGCGGCTCCGAGCTGTGCGCCCCGTGTCCCGTACAACCCCGAAGGCTCGCAGGCGAGATCACAGGAAGAAGAGGGTCTCCGAAACTGTGCGAATCTCATCTCCCGTCCTGTTCCGGTGCCTTATCATATTCCTCTGCGCTGAATGAGAGCATTTCGGATCACCGCAGCGGATCTCATCTATTGAACGTTTTCCGTGAGGCTATACAGCCCGCTGGCTTTCTGTCCGTGTGCACCTCTCTCCGTCTCTCATCTTCCCTCTCCCTCCTTCTCTCTCTCTCTCTCTCTCTCTCCACCGGGCGCTGGGTGAGTTTGATTTGTGGTGGTGTCGGCTCGCAGAGAGACACTAGGCGGTGAGACACGTGACTTTGGTCCCGAGATGGTGGGCGGATCGTGGGAAGGAGGGTTCAGAGAGGAGCGGAGCAAGTGCACCACCGCGCCGCGTTTTATGTGTCAGTGTGATGTGAGGGGGATTGCGCGGTATTAGACAAGACAGCTATTATGGTAATTGTTACACAGGGCAGGACTACTTTGGAAAATAATGTCACCATTTTTTTTTTAATCAAATTATATTCTGGGCTTGTGTATAAAGCTGAATATCCGTGTTAATGAGGCAGAGACAGGAAGGGAGTGCAGTGGTTGAACTCAATTTGTCTAAATTTGTGCCAAAACATCATGCACTCCATTTCTATTTCCTCTCCGCTATGAGGTCATTCTGACCCACAAAGCTCTAAGTAGTGTCATCACATTTCCTGCTGTTGTTTCGTCCCTACACTTCAGCACATTAGGTTTGAAATTAAAGCTTTAATCGGTGTTGATTTTCGGCTTAAAAGCTGTTTGTGAGTGTCCAAACTGATCCAGAGCAACTGTTTCTGGACAGAGCTACATCTGAAAGGATCTGTCTAAATGATCATGTGTTTGACTGCCAAGAACCAGAGAGAGAAAAAAAAAGTTGCAGTAAAAGTTCTGGCATCGGCAGCTGCAGACCTCAGCAATTCATTGAATGTAAATGATTGGAACAAAATATGTCCCTGTCCCCGAGCGCATTAATAATTAACTATTTAAGTTTCTTTTGAAAATAAATTGCCTTCATTTCATTCACTTTTTTTTTGTCATCTCGACTAGATACACGAGCGAAGACATTTCTATATTATGTATTTCATTCAGCAGCAGCCTATGTGAAACGTGCAGGCTTTTAATGGAGCTTTCAACCGTATTTCACCATCTACAGCAGCAGATAGAGATTGCTCATTCATGAATACTTGATACAAAAGTCCCATTTTAGTATTTTTTTAATAGTTCAAACTCCTAATTTATATTCACAAAGACTGCCGTTATTTCAATTTGTGCTTCTAAGCATTTGATAATTTTTTTCCCTTACGAACACCCGGGGGCACAATGAAGTCATCCCCTGCTTGTTTCATCCTTGTCCGAGGCTTTTGTTAAACCAAATGCAACATGCATGCACACAAACTCCTTAATACACATCCCCCCTTATTAGGTTATTTCCCATCAGCATCGCTCCCCTCCGCACTCTTTACCATTCGACTCAGGTTTTTTTTACACTCTGTATCTTGAACCTTGGTTTCCAAATCAAATTAATTAGGTCACTTTTATAGCAACATACTGGCATGCTAAATTGCCTGAGTCAAAAAGACAGCTGCAGACAAGAATACTCAATTACACCCAGCAAAGCAGAGGTCCGCTAATGTATGCTCCGAACGCCCCGAGCTCTGAACCTCTTATCTCCATGCTGATATTTGTGTTATTTCATAGCTTGCAAAGAGACATATAACTGCACAAAAGCCCGTCACAAAATCCATTAATATGTAAGAGCAGACAGGAGACGGCTCCTCGTAGAAAGGCAGGTGAAATTATTCTGATGTGGTCTTATTGCTAGTGGAAGCCTTCATCTCTGCTTTGTCAAGATGGATGCTTTTTTTTCTCCTTTCCTTTTCTTGCCATCAGCAGTATAATTTGTTTTATTGCTGGCCCGTGTTTGATTCTGTATTGCAGATTGACAGCAGTGGCAGTGCAGAAGGAAGGAGGGAAAGAAAAAAAAAAAATCCCTGGGTTGTGCGCGAGCAGAGAGGCATGTACAAGTGCTAGAATCTCAGAGAAATGGTTTGTGTAGTGGTGCATAGCCGAGCGTGTTTTTCTAACACATAGGCAAAAGAGTTAGTCCTTGTGGAGGTGGGTTTTTTTTGGTTTTTTTTTCCATCTGCTGTTTAAAACAAATTAGCCTTTGCTAATTACACACTGTGCCTTTTTTCCCCACAAGTGCAGATAGCTAGGGTGCTAAATACAAACAAGGATATGGAAAAGGATACTTTTAAATATGCTCGAATTAGCTCCCTGCTTGATCTCTAGTTTCGATATGAAACTCTCGTGCCACCTTGTTCTCGCCACTTCTCTTCACTTTCACTTGAAATCCGAGCAAGAGACTTAAGACCTCCAAAGTCTAGACATCATGAAAACGAAGAAGGCTTAAGCGCATTGCTGGAATTCTGTCTGATGTGTGTTGCTTTTCAGGAGTAACCGTACTGAGTGGCTCCGAGCACAAGTGTGGGCATGTTCTCATATCAAACCTATCTGTTTCTTGCCATGTGTTATCTGCAGGTCAGCCAACCTCTGCGCCTTCCCCCCCTCACCGCTGCTGCTGCTCCCCCTCTGCCGCATTCCTCCCCTCATCGGTCCCAAGAGGGCCGTAACATGTGGAGGGGGAGAGCTTTCCTCCACAAGTCATGGCTTTCCGTGGTCAAGCGTCGCAGTGACACAAGAGAGGCCGGGCCGTCTGTCATTCTGTCTGCAGCGACACGCTACACCCATCACCGGCCGTCCGACAACGCCACAGCTGTGATACAATCTCGCGTGCTCTCTGTGGTGTCTGTCTGCCGGCACAGATGGACGCGGGGAGAGAAAAGAGACGCTAAGGGATGGAGACGGTGGAGGAGAAAGTGCAGTGGGCTTCTGTCACTTCCCTCGTAGTCTAAGGTTAGTTCATGCTGAGTAATAACTCATAGGTCCCTTGACACTTTGCAGCACTCTGTTTCCTGGACTGAATAATGAATGTGCAGGGCTTCCATTAGTGTTGAAAGCTACGATTATTTCACAGGGGCTGACAATTACTCATGCTCTGGGATTCGGGGAAGGGGGTGGGAGAGATCCACTGGGATGAATTGGTGTCTCGTGGTTTGTTTATAATGAAGATATCTGTATGTGAGTGCTTGTATGTTGTTGTTTTTTTTTAAGTTACTGGAGCAGATACTAAGAAGGAGATCTGGCAGTTTGCTTTAGTATTCTTCAGTGGGTTTGTATATGTACATTATATATTTATATGCTCCATCAACTGTCAATACCTGCCTTCAGTCCAGGAACTGGGATATTGCCATCTGTTCAGGAAACCGCAGCATTTGCTTCTCTCTCCTCACAGCGATATAATTTGGCGTCGGTAAGCTTTGAGTTGGGAATGTAGCGTCACAATAAACACTCCAGCGACAGATAAGACATTTCTTTTAACAACTAGTGACAGAGATACAATCTTGTCCGCACTTATCTCAGCACTTACCTTAAGTAATGCGTCGGAATAGTGCATTAACTGCACAAAATGGACCTCATAGTCAGCACACGACTTTCTCAGCTTCAATTAGCAGGCAGATTTTGTGGTGTTATATGTGAGAGGTCACGCAGCTTACTTCTCAGTCACAGTGTTACCAGGATGATGCAGTTTTTCGAAGCAGTTGCACTTCTGGTGTTATCTGGACAGAAATGTGGGCAGTGAGCAGAAACGTACAGCCTGCGCAGAATCAAACTGAAGCTGTTGCTACAACAAGAGATCCACTGCACTGCTGGGACCTCAGCATGGCACACAGCCACCCAACTGCTGCCTTTTTTTTTTTTTTTTTTCCCACCATTCACTACGGTTGCACTAGTCTGCCTCTGCCAGTTTCCTGATACGCAGGCTGACGGTGTTCAGAAGAGTGGCTGTTTGCTGTTTGCTAATGAATGGGTTATTGTTATTAAATGCTGCATTTTCCTCGTAGCTACGGAGGAAAGGGAGAAGTGTTGGCTTTTTGATGCACTGTACTCCTCATCTCCATCTGCTTTCCATGCAGCAGAAGTTAGAGAGCGAGGCCTGAACCGGAGTGGGCCATTGAAATTCAGTGCTACACAAGGGAGACCCTCTTACAAGAGTGAAATCGGGAGGGGAGGAAGGAGATATACTGTGGAGCCACTTGATTAAGGAATCAGTGTCCAATCTCCTGGATTATACCCCCTGACCCGCCACGCCAAATCCCCTATTAAATAAGTCAAGAATTGAATTCTTTTTCTTTCCTTTTTGCTAACTGGCTTATTGACTCAAGTGTGCTCAGTGCTTTGTGGTGAGGTTTGCCTTTAAATTGGCTAAAGGGAAAGCTTACCAACATCTGATCATTATTTGGAAAGTCAAGACTTTCAACGCCTTTTGTTTTTTCTCACATGAAATGCACCGTGCTATATGGTTTTGCCCCAGCCTATGTGAGGGGGGGAGGTCATATGATCGGTGAAGATTAGAGATGGAGTTTGAATGTCCTCCTAACATTTCAGCGAAACATTTAACAGCTTCAGGTTTAACGGGCGAGCAGCGTGAAGCGCTTTCTCTGATGTCACGTTGGAATGAATCTTCTGTTATGTGTGAGGGATGAGTGCTGCGGTTTGCATTGCGTCTTCTTTCTCGACTTCTCCCCGCCCTCTCCAGATTTAAATTGGGATTTAAGCAACCGCTAATGAAAAACATGCAGCCTTTTCAGCATATGGCCCGAGCTCACATAGAGAAAAGAGGGATTACAGTCACATTTTGAGCAGATGTGCTTATCAGCATTACTTATATCATGATTTATTTTAAAAGCATCGCCTGAAAAGCCATGCTTTCTTCTTTTTGCACCAGGCTCAATAGTTAACTACTAGGATAAATGACTTTGTAGATTTAAGAGGAAGAATAAAGACTGTATATAAACACAGTCCATATTTCAAATGGCTAAATGAACGCTCTAAAGTTGGATTATGTGAGTGCAGTAAACTTTATCTGCCATATGGAACATAATGTAAACACATGCTAGTTGACAAGAAACTGTAGCACCCGTGGGCGTCTTGTGCATTCATTTCATCCTGGCACTTCAAACTACCCCTTAGATGTAAAAGCTGGACATTGGATGAAGAGAAAATGCAGTATGCTGACAGCTTCTCGGAGTTGGACGGCTGTGCCAGTGGCAATTATCAGTTGTCACAGATCTTTTGATAG